GGAAGGACTATGTTTAGAATTCAAATTTAGGGCCCGAACAACTGGAGAGATGAACCTAGAATAGAGCAGTTGTCTAGCATGTGCAAGGTTCTGGGTTTCATCTTCAGCACTATGGAAGAAAAATAAGTGGTGTTTTCAGTAAATGAGGATTACAGATTACTGTGCTCTCACGAGAGTGCTATGCCAACAGAAGTGTTTGTTGTGCCAGGAACTGGTCATGTGTCCTAAGACTCCAGTGTGGCCTCTGACCGGGACAGTAGAAGTAGCTTGCCTGGCATGGTGCCAAATGACCCTTTCAGACTTCATGCCTCGACTTTGCTTTGGAAGTTTAAAGGATTACCAGTGAAAGACATAGCACCATACTTTCTCCCCTCAGCTAGGCAGATCTGTTACTGATAAGCAGATAATAAAGGACAGGTGGGTTTCTAGCTACTCTGTTTCCCATCAGTTTCAGTGATAGTTAAGCCTCTGCTGGATGTAGGAGGCTGGAGAAATGTGGGTCCTCCTTAAGGAGCTACTCTAGTCATGGATCAGAAATCATCTGTACAGTGAATGGGGGAGTGCTACGAGAAACAAGTGCCATATTCAGTTCCATGTCTCTAAAAGGGACCTGGCTAGTGGTAACCAGTCGATAGAAGTCAAAGTTGGGTGGAGAATGCAACCCTTGAACATGTTTGAGAATTATCAGTACCACTGAGACTTCAGGAAAGCTTCAGTGTCCGTGACTGCTAAATACCACTGCATTTATCTCACTTGCAAAGTAGGACGTTTTGCTTCCTCCATTTTACAGATCGATGAAAACAGACTGCCATCCAATGTTAACTGCCAGAGTGGTGCTGCAGTCCAAGCTCCCTGTGCTTACAGCCTGTTCTCTGCATTTTTGGCCTATTCTCTGCATTTGCCAGGCAGATGAGAATAGAGCTGGCCATTTCAAAGAAATATTTTAAGAAAAAACATGAATCAAAACTGCATTTTCGGAGCTTCTGAGTACGTTGCAAGTGTTGAGTTGGCCTGGGACTGTAGCTCAGTGTGAACACTTGACTAGCAAATCCCAATAATGGGGGAAAAGATACTAGTGTAGGTTTTAAAGCATCTTCAGATGTATGTAATGCTGGAAGAGGGGCTGGGGGTTTAGCTCAGCGGCATAAGCACTTGCCTTGAAAGCAGGCAGTCGTGAGTTCGATCCCCGGTACCGATAAAAAGGAAAAAGACAAAAAAAAAAAAAAAAAAAAAAAGCTGGAAGAACAAATGATCAAGGCAAAGGGTGCTACAAGGCCTGCTTCCCTTAAAGACTGGGGGGGGGGGGATTGCTGCTTAAGAATTTTAAGCAGCAGGGCTGGGGATTTAGCTCAGCGGCATAAGCACCTGCCTTGCAAGCACACAGTTTTGAGTTTGATCCCTAGTACGAAAAAAAAAAAAAAAATTTAAGCAGCAGTGACAGTGTTTTGATGTCAACCCCAACATGGTTGTGAGGACAACTTGGAACCTGTGTTGAAGGGGAGGAATGTAATATGGAGTGACCCAGGTGAGAGAACCCAGAGCCTTGACGGAGGCCATACTGAAGGATGGAGTGGAAAACATGAGTTAGTGAAATACCAGCGAGGCAGAGGCAGCAGATGTGACTAACAACGGGCCTCTTCAGAAGCTGCAGCTGTGGGATGAGGTGCTTTGCAGCATTGTAGGTTCCTCACCGTCGATGCAAGTCCTCAACCTGAGGCTGGACTTGGACTTCACATCTTTTGTGGCAAAAGCGTCAGTTTTCACAGGTGTTCAAAGTAGGCCTTGACCTCACCAGGATTCTAGTCATATACAGACAAAAATAATTGCCAATAAAATTCCAAAAGTTCTGAATTGTTTACCTTTCCCTGGCAGATGGTACAAGTCAACATCAACCATCTAACAAGGACTTTCACATTCCAGTGTCTACTCTTGAGTGGGTGAGGAAAGGGTAGCATTACTGCTGGTGGCTTCAAGTCCAGGATCACTAGGATCTCACTGCTGTGTGGAATACGTGATTTTGTGGCAACTGTGTTATGGGAAGAAAAGTGCTTGAGGAAGCACTGGATTGATCAGAAGGCCTTTTAGGTCGTGAATTGTTTTGATGTGCCATGGTTCTGTTGGTAGGAAGGGAGGACCTGAGGCAAGTGACATCCTTCATCCTTAAAATGGACTCAGGCCTACCTTGCTGGACCGTAGTTAGAATGAAAACTAATTTGAAAGCGTTCAAATGGAGAGAAGTGCCTACCTGCCACCCCCAGAGATGGGAGCTACATTTGGCTCAGTCTCCCCAACTGGATTTGACTATGACTCAGTTCAGTTTCACAGATGCTGCTGCTGCTAAATCAGGGCCTTGGTGAGCTCTTAGAAGGACAGCTTTCTGAGGAAGGCACTGGCCCTGCAGCCCTGCTTGGAGCAGAGGATAGAAACAGGTGGTGGCCTAGCTGCTGTTTAACTTGTTGAGCAGTTTTCCTGTGGTTGTCTGGGTGACATGATAAATCATCAGCATATTAATTTTCTTTCACTACATTTTCCCCTCCTCTTGTTCCAAGGACATAAATGGAGTCCTCAAAGTTCTCTCAGCTATGTTTCCAGGGTGGCAAGCAGCACATGTGTTATAGTCATGATTCCAGACCTGCTGGTGAGAGCTCACATGGACTGAGACTGAGCCCAGGGTCCAGAAAAAGGGAGGGAGAGAAGGTGGCAGAAGATGTGGGGTAGGGGGGCTTTAGGGCCTGCACTTGGTGAGGACCTTGTGATCATGACAGAGCACCTGGTGATGAGTTTCTTTCATGGGAGGCTGCATAGGACACACAGGTCCAAACTACTGGTGTTGCCAAGAACCAGTATGGGCCAAGGCCGGGCATGGTGGCACACACCTGTAATCCCAGCACTAGATGGCTGAGGCGAGAGGATGGAAAGTTGGAGCCATGCCTAGGCAATTTAGACCTTGTCTCAAAAAAGAACTGTGCCTCAGCCCTGAGGTTAATCTTTGGTGGGAAAAAAATAAGTGAGACTCATCCCGATGTCACTGCACTGTGTGAGACCCCTGGACATTCCCCCTTCATGATCCTGGAAGGGGGAATAAACCATAATAGACCAGATTCCCTACCAGGGAGTCGAATTAAAACTTCCAAACCTGACTGTGATTGCAAAGCCACACCTGACCTCATGTCCCTCCCTGGCTCCCTCATCACTGGCGGGTTTGCTGGCAGGGTCCCTGGAGCCAGGCCAGTGCCGGTGCCAGGTGTGACCTTGAATAAGCTTGCTGCCCATTGAGCAGAGGGACAGGATGGACCAGAGCCTCTGCTCACTCTGGCTTAGGGATTGTAGTGGGTCTGACTGAACAACAGTCCATTTCCACATGAGGAAGCCAAGGCCAGTAGGGCAAGTGGTTTCGCCAAGCTTGCAGAGCCAGTAAGTGGCGAAGCTGGCCTCATACCTAGGTAGTGGTTCAGACCAAGGACTCACTAAGGCTACTGCTTAGGTTTGAATCCTGCTCTGCCATTTACTGGCTGGGTGATTTTGGTTGAGCTATTTAAATTCTGCCTTCATGGGGGCTGGGGATTTAGCTCAGTGGCATAAGCGCCTGCCTTGCAAGCAGGCAATTGTGAGTTCGATCCCTGGTACCGATGAAAAGGAAAAAGACAAAAAAAAAAAAAAAAAAAAAAAACAGATGTCAGGCATGGTAGCACACGCTTGTAATGCCAGCACTCGGGGAGCTGAGGCAGGAGGATCGCTGAGTTTGAGGCCAGCCTGGGTTACAAAGTGAGTGCAAGATCAGCCTGAACTGCATAGTGAGAGCCTGTGTCCAAAAAAAAAAAAAAATTACATTAATTAAAGTGAATGCAAGCAAAGTACTTTGTAATGTGGCTCCACAGTATTAATTTTAGCTGTTTTCTAATCTCATGTTGAATTATGAGCACCTAAAGGTGCCTTTACAGAGCTGCTCTTGCCCAGAAAGACTGTGCCATCTAAGTGCAGGAATGCATTGCTGTAATCCTAGCTGTAGGAGGTAGGAGGATCAAAAATTTAAGGCCAGACATGTGTGGCAGTGGACACCTGTAATCCCAGCATTTGGAGCCTGAGACAGCAGGATCTCCACAAGTTCAAGGCCATCCTGAATTGCATAGTGAGACCCTGTTTCAGAAAGGAAGTTTGAGGCCAGCGTGGGGAATTTAGGCCCTGTCTCAAAAAGGTCTGGGCACGTGCCTCAGTGCTGGAGCTAGCATGCTTGAGGCCCTGGGTTGAATGCCAGGTATGGACAGGTGGGGGCCCGTTACGGCTTTTCCTCACACTAGCCTGCCCTGCGTCCTCCTGAGTGTACTTTTATCTTGCTTTTTCCTTTTACTCAAGCCCAAGCTCACTCTGCAGTGTCTCCCTTTTCACTTTTACTTTCTCAAATAAACTTTGCCACTCCTTAAAAATATAGAAGGTGGAGAGGGGAAGAGGGCTGGAAACAGAGACCCCAGGGGGAAAGGGCCCGCTGCACTGCTGCCTAAAGGTCCCTAACTTCCCAGGAGAAGGGATGGGCACAGGCAGGGAAGAGCTGTAAACAGAGCCTTCCTCCTCTCTTACTCTCAGGTCCCAAAATAACACTTGCCTGCCCCCCACCTGCCCAGCTGGCAGAGCCCAGGCTGAGTAAGGGAGCATTTAAAGATAACCTGGCCCTCCAGTCTGCCCTGGCTGCTGTCTCTGTAGCCACGGGGGTGTGCCCAGAAGGGGGCTTCTCACACACGCCACTCACACCAGCCTGTTCTGAGTCCCTGGCTGCCTAAGCTTTGCCCGACTGTGCTGGGCACAGTGCAGATGAGTAAGAGCCTGGCATTGCAAGGAGCCTGCTGCAAAGGTGTTGGCAAACATCCTCGGCAAGAGCACACCTCCTCAGGGTGGCAAGACGCCGCTCCCCACTGCTCTTCACCTACCCTTCACCCCCCAAGAGGACAGGCACAAAATACACAGTCTTTCCTTGAGATATTAAAGGTAGACATCAGGAAAAAATATTCTGGTGGAGGAAAGACCCTTGTTTATTCAGCAGCAGTGGGAGCCAGAAGACCTGGGCTCCTTCAGGCTCCGACTCAGCCGTGAGACTGTGACCAACTTCCAGGTGCTCGCTGGCCGTTGCTTTCCCAGATGTGGTCTGAAGGGGAGTCTGTGTCCAAACCTCCAGGGAGGGACAGCTTAAACCAAACGAGAGAGAACATGGTGTCCTGTGGAGGGAAGGGATGGGCAATTACCTGTTTGCAGAGTTGACTGCCAGAGACCAGAGAGAAGGGCAAGCAGCCTAGAGTGCCCTTCTGGAGAGACTACTGACTGACTACGGGCAGGAACTAGAGAGGAAAACAGTTGCCTGATCTCAGAGTGGCACAGCTCAAACCACCACAGCCAGAGAGAAGTGGGCCAGGAGCTTGCCGGCCAGTCAGCATGAGCCTTGGGGATGGAGGCTTCAGGGCCAGGGAGGTGAGGAGGGCCAATCCAGCATGGTTATCCATCCCAGGAGTGACCTGATTCAATAACACACTCCAACTATAGCCCCAGGCAACCCCAAGTGAGTCACAGACATGGTCCCCTCCTCCTCTTTCCCCCACTGCAGATACCCTAGCTATAGTTCCACCCAATGAAGATCTTGCTAGTTTTGGCACCAAAGTTTCTCCAAGTACATGCTGGGGGAAGCCAAGCATAGCCCTGAGCACTGCAGACATGTTTGAGGAGAAACAGGGGTGGATCCCAAAGGCCTGGATGTTTTTAGGTTTTTTGTTTTTTAAATCAGGGTCTCATTATATAGGCCAGGCCAGCCTTCAATTTGTGATCCTCCTACTGCAGCCTCCTCAGTGTTGGGATTATAGGTATGTACCGCCGCTCCCAGTTTAGGGTCTGGGTCGAGAAATCACAAAAGCCCAACTTCAAATCTTAGCAGTGTGATCTGGGAGAATTAACTTCTTCCAACTCAGTTTCCTCATCTGTAAAATGGGAGGAACTCAGTGCGATGTGAGCAGCTAGTGTTTTCACGGGGATCGTATTCTAGGCACTGTAGGAAGAGCCTCCTACTGGCCACCCCCGGACTTTGTCCATCTGCTGTCAGAGCCTCTTTGCCTTCCTCTTTCCCAATTGCAGGAGGCAACATACTGCATGGGAAGGGAAGGGCGTTCGGCCCTGGCTTGGAGAGTTAGCAGATCCTTCCCAGGCCTGAGGCCTTGGGCAGCTGCTTCTGGGACCCCCAGACCTCCCCAGTCTCCTCACCAAACCCTTTCCTTTCTGGACTCTCATCCATTGGTGACATCTGACACCGGTTGCCCCCACTTTTCATCCCTGGGCTGCACCTGCTCAGAAGTGCCAGTTCTCTCCCTGTCCCAGTCTTACCCATCACTTCTCATCCCATAGACGTAAAAGCTGGCCTACAACTTATCAACTATAAGAAAATAAGAACATTGCAGATGAAAAACCAGGTGTGGCGGCACACTCCTCTAAGCCCAGCACTTGGGAGGCCGAGACAGGAGAATCATCTGCAAGTTTGAGACCAGCCTGGACTACAAAGTGAGCCTACAGCCTGAACTGCATAGCGAGACCCTGTCTCAAAAAGACAAAAAAAAAAAAAAAAAAAAAAAATTGCAGAGATGTTGGTGAGAGTTAGGGGGCATTGTGAGCTGCAAGTGTCAGGCATAAACTATGAGGAAGACTAGAGAAAAAGAAGAAAAGCAGAAAGAGGCAAACGCAAGTGGTGTTTCACTTTGGCTTTCAAATAGCAAAGGCTCAAGGGCTCTTTGTTTATGGTACTGGGGATTAAATCCAGGACCTCACAACTGCTAGGCAAGTGCTCTATCACTGAGCTGCAGCCCCAGCTCCTATTTTTGAAAGTCTTGACAACTTGACCAGGCTGGCCTCCAAATCGCACTACGCCTGCCTCAGCCCCACATCACCCCGACGTGACCCCAGTAGCTGGGATCACAGGTGTGTACCACCAAGTCCAGCTAGAGAGTTCATTTTTCTGGGGAATAAAAACTGGTAGCGAGTTTTGGTACACCAAAGAGATGCCATAATATAGGGAAAGATCAGATGTAGCCAAGTACACACCGGGAAGAGTCAGCCTTCAACAGGAGACGTGGTACTTCATCTGGGGGTCCCTCAGCTGATAACTGATCACTGCCGCTAGGATTAGGTGATGTGAATGGGGTTCTGTGGCTCCTGCCCTTGTGGAGCTCATGATGTATGAAAGAGGAAACAGATGGTGATGGACACACAGAGCAGGTAGCAGTAACTGAGATGCATCTCTGTCCCTGGCTGTCATGTATGACTATGTGCTGTATGAGGTGCCCTTGCCAGCCCATCAGCATGCCAGCTACTGCCTGGGAAGGAGCCTGTCCTCTCACGATGATGCACTAGAATACATGGGCTCGGGATGGGGCTGCCCTGCTTCCGGCTGCCTTTCCCCAGTCTCTGTAGAGTCCACTGAGTTTTCCATGGCCTGCCCTGATGCCCTCACCCCAGAGGCTGCCCTCTTCCCACAGTACCCATGGTCTGTTCCACCTCCTGTTGGGAGTAAGGATTCACTATTACTAGAGCCGGGGTCTTTTGGAACAGGAACCACAGAGAGAAACTGAGCCAAACATGATGAACACATGGGCAAGGCTCTCTGGAGACTCCAGCCTGAGCTGCCCAACTTCAGCTGGAGCTGAAGGGAACCAAACTGTTCAACAGAAAGACCCACCTGTTCCCTCAAGAAAGGGAGAAGAAAACTTTTGTTGATTTGTTGGAGTGAACTAAATTTGATACCTTTTCATTGGCCAGGAGTATGGATTCAAATGATGTTTTCCTTCTTGTACAAGACTTGGGCAAGCGGAGCATAGTAGCACACACCTGTAATCCAAGCACTTGGGAGGCTGAGGCAGGAGGATCACTGTGAATCATTGGGCAGTTACAGTGAACGTGTCCTGAAGGCTGAGTTCATCTCTTGGCTGATGACATCATCCTGTGCAAATACACTGACTGTGTGCTGGAAGGGGCATTATGACAATGCTAAAGGACTTTAGGTGTTTGGGTTGTTGCAGCTGCAAAACAGGAGAATAAGGTTATGGTGTCTTAATTACTTCTTTTGTTACTGAGACAAAATGCCCAATGCCCAAAATTAAAGGAGGGCAGGTTTATTCTAGCCCACAGTTCGTGGAGGTTTCAGTCCATCATCAGCTTACTTCAAGGCGAGAGAAAGAGTTCATGGTAGACACAAGGTAGCAAAGCAACAAGGGAGAACCACAGCTCTTTCTAGCCCTTATATTTTATCCAGGCTACGCAGGGCGGGTGGTGCTCACACCCTTAATCCTACTGTCCTTGATCCTAACTTTGCACCACTAATTCATTCTAGCATCACACACTCTAGATCCAGCCACCTTTGAAAAGGCCCCGCCTATGACTGCATGAGGCTTTGGAGGGACAGCTAGACATAAGCCATAATAGTATGGGAAGAAAAAGAGAGAAAAGGGAAAGAAAATAGGATGTCTCCACAGAGACCCAAAGCCAGAGACATGGTGGCAAAGGTGGTAGTCTCATCTAGTTGGGAGACTGAGGCAGGAAGATCTCAAATTCAATGCCAACCCTGGCAACTTGGTAAAACTTTATCTCAAAATTTAAAATATTGACAACTACCAAGTAAATAAAAAGATCTGGAGGTGTATTTTATCACTTAGTAACACCACCACCAAAAATACCTGTTTTTGAGGCAAGGTCTCACTATGTAGCCCAGGCTGGCCTAAAACACAGCAATCCTCCTGCCTCAGCCTCCCAAGTACTGGGATTACAGATATGTGTCACAATCTGCATTTTAAAAATCTAAAAAATAGGGGCCAGGGATATAGTTTAGCAGCACTGCACTTGCCTGGCGAGCACAATGTGCTGAGTTTGATTCCTGATACAAAAAAAAAAAAAAAAAAAAAAAAATCCCCAAAACAAAACAAAAAAGAACTGACTCAAAAGTTAGGGCAGGGCTGGGGACTTAGCTCAGTGGGCCTAAGTGCCTGCCTGGTAAGCACAAAGTCTTAAGTTTGATCCTGGGTACCAAACATAAATAAATAAAAGGGCAACGGAGGGGGCAGACACAGCATGGAGACAGATGCCAAGCCCTTTCATCTGTTACTCGTTAGACAACTGCAGGCCAGAGAGAAGAGTCAGTGCTTTTAACAAAAGTGGCCTTCAGGCCCCGGAGAAGTCACCTAAGTAACAAAAGTTGCCTTTTGGGGGTACTTGGGATTGAACCCAGGACCTCACACTGAGCTGCAACCCCTGCTCTTTTTCCTTTCCTATTCTGAGACAGGATCTCACTCGGTTACCCAGGCCGGCCCCAAACTTCTGATCGTCTTGCCTCAGCATTCCGAGATCCTGGATCATCACCCACACATCAGAGGTGATTCTATGACAAAGCTAGTGGGGAACTAACAATGGCTTATCCAGCTGTAACCTCCAAAATTAGTGCTCTTTTAAATCAACTGAGAGCTGCGGAAGTCAGCTGGAGAGCTTCTTTAGGTTTCATCTCAGGAACAGTTTGTGTACACATGCTCCTTTTGTGCTTTTGTTTCTGTTTTTGTTTTTTTTTTAAAGCTCATGAAGTTCAATCCTTTTGTGGTTTTATCAGGGTTTCCCTATGCGTCCGTGACAGAAACCAAGCACAGCAGCAGAGAAGCGACATGCCATGCTACAAAGGTAACCGTTTCCTGTGTCCTGTGGTGTATCTTGTTGTTCCACCATGATGGTCCTTAGCTGTCTCACACCCAGATCTAGACTTGGTTCTTTAGTGCTCCCTCTTCCATTAACTGGCATCATTACTTGGACCAAGTCCTTTATTTTACTTGAATTTTAGCTTTTTCACTTGCAAAATGAGATTGAAGCTGTGAGTAGTGGCGCACATCTGTAATCCAGTGCGCCACTGGGGAGGCTGAGGCAGGAGGATCATCATGAATCTGAGGTCAGCCTGTTATACTTAGTGAGTTCATTAGTCTTTTTTTAAAATCGGTATCGAGGATTGAACTCATGACTGCATGCTTGCAAGGCAGGCACTTATGCGGCTGAGCTAAATCCCCAGCCCCAACTTAGTGAGTTCAAAGCCAGCCTAAACTACATAGCGAAACCCTGCCTCAAAAAATAAATGATGCTGTTTGTAACATCTAGCTACCTGAGTTAGCTCATGGAGTTGTGGAAAGATTCTAATTGAAAGGTTTTTGCCCTAGTAAAAATTACTGTATATTATGGCAGTGATCTAACATGGTGGAAGGCCAAGGCAGAAAGGTTTACCTTGACGACCACCTCCTCCTCCTTCCCCTTCAGCCCTAATTGCAACTTTCTTTCGTGTGTGCACAAAAAAATTCTAATCAGCTCCTCACACATCATTAATGTCCTCCCCATGCACCGCTTCCGATCGGGGTCATAGACTCCCTGCCCCTTTTGTATCCCGTTGGAGAAAAAGCCAAACCCCATGAGCTGGGAGCTCCTCTCCGCGGCCTCAATAGAGGCCACGTTCTCCTTTCTGCTTCTCTATTGCGCCAGAAAACCCTAATACGAACGAGTTAGATTTTTTGTTTGTTTCATTTTTATAAGGTAAGTTTGTTGTTAATACGGGGTTAGGACCCACAGCCTTCACACTGAGCTACATTCCCAGCCCTTTATTCATTTTTATCAGGGCCTCAATGATAAGTTGTCCAGGTTGAGATGACAGCAAATGCCACCTTGTCGCCCTCCGAGAAGGTAGACGAGATGTCTTGTGAAGGGTAGGTGGTGGGGCGAAGGCAGGCTTTGTTGTTCCCCTCAGTTTGGCCTGCAGTTCCTGCTCAGGTACCCCGATTAGCAGGCAGAGTCACAGGTCCTTCATCTGCTTTTGTAAGGGGAAGAACCTCCAGCCCTGAGACTGTCCCCACCTGTACTGAGCTGTGGCCTCCTTGTGCTCTTGTAGCTAAGGCAGCAATTTTGCGGCCTTGCTCCCTGAAGGAAAAAAAAATTCGGTGTGAAGGGTATTTCCCTGGATGATCCCCAAGTGGCCTGAGCACTCTGCCATCCCCGCAGGCCGGCCACGGTACCAGCGCTGTCGCTCGACGGGAAGGGGCCACCCCAGGGAGCCGGTGCAGCTGCCAGAGCCCAGGCCTGTGGACACCACTGGGGACAAAGCCGCTCTGAGCTGCTCTCAAAGGGTGCCTGTGTTTCGGGATGGGGGCAGGGCGACTCGCAGCCTTTTTCCACTCCTCTCCCCTCTTCTCCCCTCCCCTCCCCCTTCAGGATGTTTGGGGCTGGGCACCAGGGCGGAGGAGGTCCTGCCCAAGGGAAGGTACGGCCCTGCCTCCCCGAGGTTGGCCCCTACGCAGGACTGTCGGAGGTGGCACCAGGATCAGGGCTCCTGGAGCACCGGATAATGATTGGGCCCAGGCGGGGGGCGGGCCCAGGACACCGCCTGGCCTCCCAGGCTGCAGTGTCCAGCTGCCCGCTGTGTCCGTGATGGGTCAGACGGGAGGAGCCACTGTGGTGCCAGGGACAGGGAGAGCAGAGCAGTGCCCTGCTGGGTGAGGGGCAAAGGGTTCCCGAGCGTGGCGGGGTGGGCGTCGCGGGTGGGCGGGCCCTGGGCGGGGCTCGTGCCTGGGGGCGGGGCCACCGCGGGCGGGGCGCTCAGTCCCGCCTTCTCAGCCCGAGCCGGAGCCCGAGCCCCGCCGCCTGCTGGGCCCGCTGCAGCTCTCGCCGGCCCGCTGCGTCCCGCGGTCCCCTCTCCCGGCGGCCGGCCCTGGCCTCACCCAGCCCCCATCATGTCGCCCGCGGGGCTCCGCGGGGCCGCGCCGCTCGCCGCAATCGCCCTCTTGGTGCTAGGGGCTCCCCTGGGTAAGGGATGGGAAGTGAGGCGGGGGTGGGTGGGATGGGGCTCGGGGAGAGGAGGGCTCGGCCCGAGGGTCTCTGCGGGGTTCCCTGGGGCCCCTCGGGCTGTGCACGCCCAGTGTGCTGCGACGTGGGTAGGGAACGGGAAGGGAGAGCGCTGGGTGGCTGAGTCGCGGGAAGAGGTGGAGGGCACTATCCTGATGTCTGAGAGCCAGCGGCCTGGGGACCACGACGGGGGAGAGGGGATTTCAGGCTAAGGGCAGCCGGAGAACTGGCCTAGTGGCCACTGGGCACCCCAACCCTGCCCGCAGCACTGGCTGGCGAGAACTGCCTGTGGTACCTGGACCGGAATGGCTCCTGGAATCCGGGGTTTAACTGCGAGTTCTTCACCTTCTGCTGCGGGACCTGCTACCAGCGCTACTGCTGCAGGGACCTGACCTTGCTCATCACGGAGAGGCAGCAGAAGCACTGCCTGGCCTTCAGGTGGGCTCCTGCCTCTTCCCTCAAACCCCTCAATCCTCCTCTCAAGAAGCCTGTCTCCCGGCTTTCGTCCACCTCCACATCCTCAGCGACTGCAGTCTCCAGGGTTCCAGCTTGGTGACAGAGCTAGTTGGGTAGTGTGCAGCGTGGGAGCTCGGAGGAAGGCTTGTCAGTTACCATCTCAGGTTTGGACTAGGCTGAGTGTTTGCAGATTCTTTCCGGGGCCCTCCTCCTGACCCCGCTAGGGGAAAGTGGAAGGGTTAACACCTAGATTACAGTGTGGCTTCGTGGAAGCAGCTTTGGCGAGAAGGCAGGAACTGGGATTTGACCCTCGGGTCCACTTCCTATCCTTTGTGTAAGTCTGGGGAAGCACTTACCTTCTGTGGGTTATTGTTCTTCCTGAAATGAAAGAGTTGCCATAATCGATTTTTTCTCCCTGGTGCTAGGGATGGAACCCAGGGCCTCAAGCATCGCAGACAAGCGCCCTACCACCATTATGTCCCCAACTCCCAAATTAGTGATTTTCAAACTTCCTTTCGTCACTGCAAAAAAAAAAAAAAAAAAAAAAAAATACAAGGAGATGGACAGTCTGAAGTGAGGTTCAGAAAAAGTGGCCCTGGATTATTTCTAACGTTCCTTTTGGACTAAATTTTGTAAGTCTGATCACTTCAGTTGGAGGTGTGAAAGCAGAGATGAAGGAAGGGACACTACAAATCCCAGCATGCCTCCCTCTAGCCAGCCAGGCAGCATAGCTTTCTGGGAAGTGAGGTCCTAGGACCATCTCCATAGGGACCAGGCAGAGCCCCACAAGGAATCCCAAATCTTAGCACGCTGTAGACAGCAGTTGCACCTAGCATAACGAAGACTCCCTCCTGTTCTTTGTCTAAAGTCCCAAGACCATAGCAAGCATCGCCTCTGCTGTGATCCTCTTTGTTGCTGTGGTTGCCACCACCATCTGCTGCTTCCTCTGCTTCTGCTGCTACCTATACCGGCGGCGCCAGCAGCTCCAGAGCCCATTTGAAGGTATGCCCTCCGTGGCGGGCGCCAGAGAGGTCAGGGGTGGGTGAATTCTCCAGCCATGTGTGTTTCTGTATGCATGCATGCATGAAAATAAGAGTGTGCCCAGGAGTCCCAGAAACATGGGACCACGTGAGCAGACGCGCCCGAATGCTCAGCTGTGCACAGGCGTGAAGTCTGTCAACAGTGGTGGGCAGACAGTGGGCACATATATGTGTGTGACTCAGTAGGCCCACGGTGTGAGGGCTTAGTGGTGCACGCTAAGTGTTCTCCAGTGTGCAGTGGAGTGTGTGTGTCTGAGTGTTGAAATCCCTGCACATGTGCCCAAACCTGAAAGGCGTGGGGAATGGCGCTACCATATGGGAGAGCAACGTGGGAGGAAACGCGGGGGAAGATCCCTCTAGGTAGCAGCTGTGCTGGACAGCAAGCTAACAGCCCCTGGAGTTGCCGGGTCCTTGCCCAAGTGGGGCATCCCCAGGCCCTGCCCTCTGGTTCGTGAGGTCTTTGAAACCTGCTGAGGGAAGCCAACTGGCTAAGCACAGCTTGGCCACCCAGAACTGCATGCACAGCTCCCTGCCCAACTCGGCCACACAGGGTTTGGGAGGCAAAGGCCACGGGGAGCCACCGGAGAGCCTGCCTGGGTCCCTTGGCTTCCTAGGCAGGAGGAGGAAGCTTCCTATGGAGGATGTGGCCCTGAATGCTAACTTCTGTCCCCCACCTAGGTCAGGAGATTCCGATGACAGGTATCCCAGTACAGCCAGTGTATCCATATCCTGCGGACCCCAAAGCTGGCCCTGCACCCCCCCAACCTGGGTTCATGTACCCAGCGAGTGGTCCTGCTCCCCAGTATCCACTCTACCCAGCCAGGCCCCCAATCTACAACCCTGCAGGTAAGTAAGCAGCCGCTGTTCCTGCTTGTCCCTCCCTCTCGCTCCAGCTCCTTCCTTTCCTCTCCCAGTTACCCTCCACCCATAGCTGGAAACCTCCAGGCCAGCTCTTTCCCCATGGATCCCGCACACTCTGTGCACAGGGGTTTACTTGCAGTCCTCCTGTGTTTTCACTGACCCTCATCCCATGTTTTTATCTCTCAGCTCCTCCACCCTATATGCCGCCACAGCCCTCATATCCAGGGGCCTGAAGATCCAGCCACCCTGCTGTCCTTCAGTGATGCTGACTTGGGAAGATTCCCCATTCTTTACCTGCATTCTGCCCTGGGGGTGGGCAGGGGTCTTCTAGTCACCAATCTGTAGACCAAGCCAAGTCCTGGGCCCTCTTGGGGACAGCACCCCAGAGAAGTGGAACAAGAACTGAGCTGGAATTGAGCTGTGAATGAGGGGTGGTGGGCAGGGCTTGGGATTGATGGGCCATTTTCACTGGGGGCAAAAGAGGGAGATGACATCTTGAGTCACACCCCCAGCTTTCAAGTAGTCCTTCTGCTCCCAGGATTCTAACTGGAAAGGCCAGGGCCCCTCCTATTTGCCCATTTTGTGTTGGGGTAGGAAGCTCCATCAACAACTGGCAATCGCCATCCTGTCTGGCTGCCCACTGGCCAGGGCCCTGACTTGCTGGATTAAAGCTGTACAGACGTGACATGTCAACTGCATCATTGGACCCATTCATACCCGCCAGCAGCACTGCCTCCCACTGAGCCCGCTGCACACTCTGGGTCCCCACGGCAGGGAGGGCCCCCTGTGCTCCCCAAGGAGGGGACCTTGGGTTGGTTCTCAAGGCTAATGAGGAGGATTTGTGTGGCAGTTGGTAAAGGCACCTTACATTATGGAGCCCCCTGCTTAGGGTCAGGCCTCTTGGACATCTGAGTTACCTCCCCCATTCAGGCTCACTTAAATTCAAACCTGGCCCCATTGTTCTCAGACTTCGATTGTGTCTCTGAAGGTCTCCAACCTGTAGCATCCTCACCTTTAGGACAGGGATAATACCTCACAGCTGTCACGAGGGTGAGATGGGATATGATGGAACAGTACTGTCCATCTGCCCGATCACAGGTCCTAGAACTAGGAGTCAGAGGGACAGGACCATCTAAGAAACAGAGACAAGGTACTTCTGTCAGCTGCTTGGTTGTCAGGTGACCTTGACAGCAGATCCCCCAGGACTCCCCGTCCGCCAGGCTGAGGGGAAGAGGCCATCTGGGAGTGGGCTAGACATTTGGAGCTGTCTGGCCATCTTTCCTCCCCAGGCCTGTTGAGTCAGGTCCCTGTGCTTTCCAGACTGCCTCAGGACAGATCAGCGAAGGGAGATTTGTAGCTCTGATTTTTGTTTTCTGCAGTACTGGAACGGAACCCAGGGCCTTGTATGCTCTACTACTGAGCTACGCCTCCAGCCCAATTTTATAGTTTTCAGTTGAAGCAGAGAACATGCCAGCTTAGCTTGGCAAAGCTGTCTCTGTGCAGGATACCCCCTTTCTCCACCTGGCCCTTGGCCCCTCCCTTTGCTCCACCTTTGGGTCCTCCAGCCGAGTCCAGTGTAGCCTCAGCCCCTGTGCTCCTACCCTGTCCCTCAGGCTTTTTTCCTTGAGCCTCTGGGTTCCTGCAGCCCAACTTGGCTCTGGATAGGACCACCACACTGACCAGGTCCCCTGCTCGTGGGGACCCACCACCTACATTCTTTGGTTTTTGTTTGTTTTGGTACCAGCAATCAAACTCACGACCCCGCACTTGCCAGGCAGGTGCTGTGCCGCTGAGCTATAACCCCAGCCCTGAGGTTTTACCTCTTGTTACACTACCTGACAAGCAAGAGCTCCAGGGCCAGTGTTTTGAGGCCAAGGTCAGAGCCGCGCTTAGGTGGAGGTCTGCTCCCTGTTCATTTGCCCCTGAACCTGACCCGGATAGGAAGGGGCAGCTGATGCTGGAGGTAGAGGCTGGGACCACTGTTGGCAAATGTTTTCTCTTTGAGTGCAAGGGAAGGCCTGGAACCTGGGGCCACTGAGTGGTTCCACCTTCACACCTCAGGAGGGAAGGTCACCAAGTCATTGAGCTCTGGAGCCCAGCTACCTCTCTCCTGAAGCTAAAGCTGACAGTGGATAAGGTTTCTGAGCTTCGTCAAGTAAGGATGAATATATGCAAGGCCCTGGCACTCAGAATTAATTGTCCTCAAATCACCAAGCTGTAGCCAATGACGAATTGCTCTGTAGTCTAGGGTAGAAGGCAAATTTACCATAGCCAGAGCTGCCCTGGTTTCTAGTTAATTGCAAACCACTGAAAAGAATTCTAAGGAAGGTGTGTGTGAGGGGGCAACGTTGTCTGGCAGTGGGGCTGTTGCATATTCTGAGCTGCAAGTATCCTGGCGCCAGGGCTCTTTAAATGAGGGGAATACTCCTTCTCCTCCAAAGCATCATGCCCCTGTCCCAGACCCTGGAGCGCATCATCAAGGAATTGGAGAGCCCAGTCTGGCTAGGTAAAGCCTGTAGTTGTAGCTGCCCCTTTCCATCATCTTATTCTTCACCCCTGAAAACTAGTCAGGCAACCCCAAAAGATCGGAGGGCTCAGGTGGAGAGGCATGGCCTCAGGAATTGCAGTGGTGTGAACAGGCTGGGTTTGCTAGGTTGGAAGGGAAGTTGGGGTGAGAACCTGGTTGGGGAAGAGCAATGTTATACAAAAGCACAGGTCTGTAGAGGACCTGCTTAGTACCTTAATGCCTTTGGTTCTATCCTCTGCATCGCCAAAAATTACAACAAAACCAAAACCCAGGGGCCTACTCAGGATGGCAAAAGAGGCAGAGCTAGCTCCAAGGAGGACAGTCAGCGCACAGATCAGGGTCAGAGCTAGGACAAGGACATGTGGAAACATAATGGGGGCATCTGGAAAGGTTAGTAAAAAAGGCCAAACCTGGTCGGGGTGGGTAAAAGAGGACCAGAAACTTTTGGCAAGAAGGAAAGGAAGGTGTAGCCGGGTGCAGGGGAGGCGGTGGAAAGCCTGGGTGGAAAGAGTGCCTAAGCAAGGTGGGCCCAAGGTGGCCTTTCCTGCTCTGACTTCCGGGCTGCTTAGGTGGTCAAGGATAGGGTGGGGGGTGCGTGGGGTGGGTGCGTGCAATCTTGATCTTCTGGAAGTATGCTCATGGCTGCTGACCTTTGTCCAAATCCTATTTTTTGTTTATTTTTTTGAGACAGGGTCTCAGGCTGGCTTTGAACTCACCACGTAGCCCAGGCTGGCCTACAACTCGCAGCAATCCTGCAATCCTCCTGCTCCAGCCTCCTAAGTGCTGGGATTACAGGCATGTGCCACCATGCAGGCTAGCAAGCCTGTTTCTTAAAAAGGGCCACGTGGGTGGGGAGGTCCAGCAAGGCCCCTATGCCTACAGCCCCTCCACATCATCCCGCTCTTTGAGCTCTGATAACATCCAGTCGGCGAGCACCTCAAGAGTTCCAGGTGTCTGCCTCGGTCCTAGCCAGGTCACCCGGGCGGGCGGCGTGGAGAGAAGGTCTAGGAGCGAGAGATGCCGGCAGGGACGCTAGCAACGCAACTGCCGTAAGCGATGGTAACGGGTCCGACGACGTTTCTCCCGGGTAGGTGGGCGATGGGCTGGGACGGACCGATTGTCCGCGGACCTGGGTTTGAGTCTGGATTCATCAGTTTGGACAGTCATTTGCTTTCATTGAACCACGTATTTTCCCCTGAAAATAGGACGCTTCCGGGCTTTAGGAAGGGAAGGCGGGACAGACAGGTGACTGTCCATGTGTATGGGGGGACAGGTGGGTGATAGTGCCCGCGCGCGGGGCAGAAACGCGCCCCTGCCAGGGCGATCGCCTGCAGCGTGGCTCAGCGGGTCCGCCGGTCTCCTCCCCGCACCCCGCCGCTTCCAGCGTCCGGGTCCCGCCGAGGGAGCCTGAGGGACGCGGTCTGCCACCAGGTGGCGCTGTGCTCCCGCGCCTGGCTCCGAGCACCAGGGAAAGGCTCAGGTTACCAGGCGCGAGCGGACTCCCCAGGAGCGCTGAGCGGGGCCCAGCGGCCTGGGGTTTTCCCAAAACGTGTTTTAAATGGGGTAGAAAGAACTCTAAGGTGACAGGTTCTGTTGGCTCCTTAAAATTTGGAGAGAAATTATTTGGCTCTGTTAGGCTGTTTTTCGTCACCTTTTCATTTCGTCGGTGGAGCCCTAGGAGCTGAAGTCTTGAGCTCTGCTTTTTATTAGCTGTAGGAGCACAGACCATTAGTTAACCTTTCTGGTTCCAACTTTACCGGCCACATGGAGAGATTATTGGTATTCCTCCCTCAGAATTGGAAGCACCCAGCAGGCACAGGGTAAGGAGAGGCCCTAGGTGGGCTTAGCTCCAGCTCACACTTTCAAGGGCTGGGGGCTGGCAAGTCTGTCGCCCCTCTCCTGTGGGTCGCTCAGCCACTGCTCAAGGCGACTGCTCAAGCGAGGGGGAAGGGGGGCCAGATGCGCCCTAGGGTATGTGCCTTTCCTCAGCACCTGCCTGCCCCAGACTCCGGGCATGCCCAGCACAGCTGACTGGCTTGCTTATAGGGCCCTGCCACCCGCCCCAAACTCCTGTGTTCTTTGCTATTGAGGCAGAAAAACTAAAAGCGACCCAGACCCGAGGTGGTAGATTCAAGGTGCCAGTAAGTGCCAGCACATTCAAGCCAGTAAAAATGACAGACATTTTTGTTGTGTTATGGTACTAGGGATTAAAGTCAGGATCTCTCATGACCTAAGCGTGTGTTTTATCACTGAGCTGTGTCCCTAGCCTGGAAGTTCTGGAGTTTTTTTTTTTTTCTCTCTCTTTCCATTTTGGTCCCTTTGGTACTGGGGATTGATCCCACGGACACCCTACTGTGGGGATACATCCCCAGTCCTTTTTTTATTTGTTATTTTGAGATGTGAAGGGTCTCTTTAAAGCACTAAGTTGCCCACCCTGGGATCAAACTTGTGATCCTCCTGCTTCAGCCTTCCAGAGTGCTAGAATGACAGGTCAGGAGGGCAGCGCCTCCAGATCTAAGGGCACACGAGTGGGTTCTGCTCTCCACATGTTCACCCCCACTTCACCAGCTGCCTTCCCTGGCCTGTGGGGAGCTGGCCCTGAGCCCACAGGGAGAGTCATGGAATCAGCCTCCCCTGAACAGGCCTAATATAGCCATCCCAGGCCCTGTGCTGTACTCTGCCCAGTTTTCTCTGCACGCAGTGTGGAACACTGGCTCTAGGCAGCAAGACTGGTTCAAAAGCAGACACAGACAGCCAGGTCAGGGGCCCCTTTGCTCAGGGCCCAGGCTTTCCCCACACTGCCTTTCTGCAGAGGTAGACTGATTGTCTGGTCAACTGAAATGGTGCGGGAGGGAATGTGAACTTCTGGAGCCTTCCAAGGAGCCCAAGGTGAGCATCGGCATCCTTAGTTCATGACAGGAGAGGCACAGTTCAAGGCAGCTAAAGTTGTATATATTATCAAAATCTTATGGAAAAACAGATACACAGCTATTTATACAACAGCAGGTGGGTGTGAGGAAAATGTCTGCTTTGGCATCAAACCTTCGGGTCCAGCTGCTGTCTGTCCATCTCCTCCCATCTGGAGCCCACTCTCCAGCACACACTGTGTGCCCAGGCCATCCGCCCCCTGATGGGCCCCCATGGCTTCGATCTCTCTACCATTGCCCACAGAGTGCCACTGGCCCAGCAGCTCTGCCCCAAGGGCTCCTCAGAGACCTGAATCCTGGCCCCAGAGGGCAGTGGGGCTGGGCTGGATACATGGTCCCTGGAAGACATCTTTCCTGGATCACAGGCCTTTTACAGTGTGCCAGCTCCATGGGCCCCACGCAGTGCCATCTTCTCTACGATGTGCTAGGAGGACTCTTCTTGTCTGAAACCTCAGCTCCAGGCATCAAAGCAATTCTTAGAGAGCCTCAGAGACAAGAAAAGGAAAGTGAGAAGAGATGAGGCGCCCTGCCTCGAGCGTGGCCCAGGCCTCACGCGCTCCCATGGCCGAATAGGACAGCCACTGCGGGTCAGCCAGGGCAGGGTGGGCGGGGTCTGTGCAGCCCTGGGACGTGAGTCTGGGCGGTCATGGTGTTGGCACCAGAGCCTGGCAGCCTGGTCCTACTGAAGCAGCTTGGGCACCTCCACCTGCAGGGCAAAGCAGAGACAGTGAGAGCAGGAGGGGTTGCCTGGAGGCCTCTAGAATTCCTCTTATCTCCCTCCCTCTTGGAAAAACAGTACTCCAGACACCTCAGTGTGTGTGGAAGGGATGCATGCTTGGAGGTTGACACCTGTCCTGTAAAAGCGGCTGTTACTTGAGGGCCAACAGAATTACAATGGAAGCTTTCTTTATCTTGTGATGTCTAGTCACAACTGATATGGAGGGGATAGGGCATCCAGTGAGAGAGGCAAATAAATATGTACTCTGTCAGCAGGGGGGACTTCCAGGGAGGCAGGCTGTGACAAGTAGGGTATCTGGGGACAGCCCACGGGTCCATGGCACTGGTTAGCCAAAGGCAGATGCTCCAGGGCAATAGAGGTTAGACTGACCTACAGGACCAAGCTGGTCTCGAGAGGTGGTTAAGTAAAACCACAATCATTTTTGTTTGGAGGACTGGCAAAGAGGTCTTATAGGAAGAGCCCACTGTTGTGCTCCACAGACAGTCTATCTCTCCATCTCTCCATCGGGAGAAGCTGCTAACTGTGGCAGAGGAGGGCAAAGTGCAGAGTGAGACACCGGAGGAAATTCCTTGGAGGAAGCATGGAGTCTGGCCTCTAAGGCAGGAGACATGCCTGCTCAGATGACCTGGTGGGTCCTGGGAGAGCACCTGCATGAGCATCTCTCTGTGTGTGTGTGTCTGTGTGTGTGTGCACGCGCATGCATGCGTGCCCTTGCAGCTGCCTCTCCCAAAAGCCCTGGCCCCTTGGCCTGGTGGCTGTGCCCACACCACTTGCCTTCTTCAGCTGCTTGAGGTTGCTGGAGCGGATGGCTGCCAGGAGCTGGTCACGTGAGTTCTTCTCCTGGGCAGGGTGGACTTTGTCCCCCATCTTCCTCTGGGTGGCTGGTGAGAGAGAGTTCTTCAGGTTTTCCATGATAAGGGGAGGAGCCAGTGGAGGAGGGGGAGGGGGCGGCGCAGCAGGAGCACCCCCTTTCTTGGGCGAGTTCTTTGAAGCGGACTTTGGAGATGGCTGGGGTGAAGATTTGGGGGAGCCCTTGGCCAAGGCCCCAGCCTTGGGCACCTCCAGCAGCTCCTTCTTCTTCTCCCCGCTGGCTTCCTGGGCCTGCCTTTGTTCCTGCAGCCGCTTCTGTCGCTGCCTGTCCATGTTGCGGCTGAGCAAGTTGGTAACTGTCATCCGGGGCCCGGCCAGCTCAAAATGGTAGCCCAGCTTGAGCAGCGTGGTGTTCTCCTTGAGCAGCTTGGCGATCTCCATCTCGGTCTTGCCCCCGCAGATGTGCCGCTGGTTGTGGAAGCGCAGCTCAGTCAGCGTGTTGTTCTGGAGGAGGGCCCGGAAGATGGCCAGGATGCCCTTGCCCGTGATGTGGTTGGAGTCCAGGTTGAGGCTGGTGATGGTCTTGTTGGCCTTGAGCATGATGGCGATGGCGAAGGCCACGTGATCATCAGCCCGTGTGTTGGCCAAGGCGAACACCTTGACCACCGTGTTGAACTCCAGGGCCTCGGTAAACCGGACCAGGATCTCATTCGTGATACAGTCTGAGTTGTTGACATTCACCTCGGTCATCTCCGGGTCATTGTTCTTTACCTTCTCCAGGGGTTCGTCAAAAATGCTGGGCGCTGCCTCCTCCTCTGGCTTGGCCGGCCCCTCTGCGGCCTGGCCGGTGGCCCCGGGGGACTGCTTTTCTGCTGCCTTGGTCTTGCTGTCTTCCTCGACTTCCTTTTCCTCCTTCTTTGCTTTTTCTTCCTGCTTTTTCGTGTCCTTGTCCCCGGTTCCTCTTTTCGTCCCCTCAGCCTCCTTTTTCCTGTCTGTGTCTCCGCCTGCCTTTTTCAGGCGCTCCTCCTCTCTCCTGGTGACATCTGTGCTTCCGCCGTCCCTTTTTACCTTCTCCACGTCCTCTTTCTTGACCACTTCCTCTCTTTGCTTGTCCTTGTCCCTACTCAAGCCTGTGTTCCTGTCACTGCCTTTCTTCTCCTCTTCTCTCCTGGTGGCCGCTGTCCTCTCCTCTCCTCTCACATCCTTCCCCGTCTCCTTCTTGTCCACTGCGGCCCTGACCCGGCCCTTGTCGATGCCCCTGATGACCTTCTCCTCCTTGGGCTTCTCCCCGCGTTTGCCGTCGGCTTCCTCTCGGTCTTTGGGGAAGGTTTTCTTTAAGTTGCCCCTCTTGGGCTCTTTGGCCAGGTCTGAATCCTGTCTGGGGCCCAGAGCTTTTTTACTGGCATCTCTGCCCCTGTCTTCTCCATTCTTGGCATCTGCCTGGGTCTCCACTTGCTTGCTCTCCTAAGAATTTAGAAAAGAAAAATAAACATGAAGAGCTGGCTTCAGGAGGAGAGGCCGGCTATGAGACAAGCCAGAGAGCACTTATGTAACCGCCCTGGAGCCTTGGAGGACAGCTGGTGCCAGAGAGAGAGGACAGCAGCAGGGGAACAGGATTCCCAGTGCAGAGAACTCGCCGACACCGGGCTCACATGGGGCCTCAGGGCCGCGGGTTGGCCAGACCACGCGGACAGAGGACACAGAGGTGTGCACAAAGCCCAGCTCCCTTCCCAGAGCACTCTCAGACCCACGCTTTTTGTCCTTTCCTGTCATGGGTGATTTTAGCGGGGCTGCTTTCAACAGGGCCAGCGTGAATGTTGGAGACTCACTGAAGCTGAGAAGTGGAGTATTGAGCGCAGGGCCTCTTCATTGGGCTCTATTCCCATATTTTTGTGTTTTATTTTTTTGAGACAGGGTCCTGCTAGGTAAGTAGCTAAATTGCTCAGCATAACCTTGAATTTGCTGTCCTGCTTCAGCCTCCCAGAATGCTGGGACTACAGGTGTGCACTGCCACCTAGTGTTAAGTTTTAATAATTATGAATTTTTTCAAAATGAATTTTTTTTCAATTTTTATTTTAAAAATGTACACTTAATGGTGGCTCATGCCTGTAATTCCAGCACTCATGGAGGGCTAGGCAGGAGGATCACAAGTTCAAGGCCAGCCTGGACAATTTAGCAGCTTAGTAAAATCCTGTCTCAGAATAAAAAGACTGCAGATGTAGCTCACTGTGAAGGCCCTAGGTCCACTCCTTAGTACAAGGAAAAAAATATATATACATATATATATGTTAAAATATCAGTTGTCTTACTCATTGAGAGACCCCCAGGGAGCATTCTGAGCTCAAGGCTAGTGCCTCACCCTTCAACCTAGCCCTAGCCCTGCTGCCAGGGGGTGCTGGGGGATCCCACATACTGGGATTTGGCAAGCCAATACAATTGCAGAGAAAAAAACATTGAGGGGATCAAGATGGTGATGCTGACATTTTATTAGTTAAGGCTATTTATAAATTAGATCTACCATCATCTCATTTCAATAAGGAGCTAATTATTAAGAAGGTAGAATGAATGCATGAAACATGTGTCTCTCTTAAAAAGTTTAGTGTGTTGTCTTTTCTTTTTTCCTTTGCTTTCTGGTGATGGAACTCAAACCCAGGGCTTCATGCATGCTAGGCAAGGGTTTCGTCACTGAGCTACACTGCTAGCTCACATTTTCACTTTTTAGTAAGAAGCTTTGCTAAGGACAAACCCTCTGCCTGTGTGGTGACCCTGGAATCCGCTGGTGTGTGATCTTGGGGGTGCTCGTCACATCTGGGGAGAAGATCTGTGGCTGCACACCGTAATATGGCCCTGGGAGGGGGGGGGCTAAGACTGCCAAGTGCCACAGACCCTTGAGTCTCATTCACAGCACAGGCCGCCCGCACCTCTGTGTGGCTCTATTTCTTCTTCCACAGAGTCATGTCAAGTCTGAGCTATTTCATTTGTTTTTTGAGACAAGGTCTCCAGGCTGGCCTTGAACTTACTATGTAGCCCACTTGGCCTCCAACTCACAGCGATCCTCCTACCTCAGCCTCCCAAGTGCTTGGATTACAGGTGTGTGCCACCATGCCCAGCTAAATCTGAGCTATTTTAAAAGAACTTGCTTCTGTCCCCACCTCAGGGGCACAGCAAGCAGCAGCTGGCCCACAGTGAGGTACTAGGTTTAACCATCCAACTGGGAAGGAGGACCCGGAGCACCCAGGATCCCAAGGGATGCTGTTTAGTCCTCGTCCCCTAGAGGTGTTTAACAGAAGACACCATGGCCTGAATATTGGAAGGATTTCTGTCTCTCAAGAGGGCCTAGTGGAGTTGTAATCCCAGTTCTTAGGAGGCTGCAGCACAAGGTGAGACCTTGTCTCCAAAATAAATAATAAAACAAGAAAGAGTGCCATTGCAGCCGGACCCACTAACACACGCGTAAGGCTAGTTACTCACGGGACTGAGAGAGGAGGGTGCAAGTTCAAGGACAGCCTGGGTAACTTAGGGAGACCCGGTCTCAAACATCAAGTAATAAAAGGGCTAGGAGTGTAGTACAGTGCTCCCTGGGTTGGTGGGGATCACTCAGTGGTGTGGAAGGAAGAACAGAAGAAGGAAAAGCAGAGCCCCACGGCATGCTGGCCCACGGGGCTCCTCCTCACTCCCACCCTTCTGAGGGCTGGAGGGCAGGCTCGGCCCTCTGGGGACAGTTTGTTCTGGAGGCTGAACACACCCACTGCAGAGCAGTCAAGGCCTAGAGTCCTGCTAGAATCACAGTGGGCAGCCAGTGGCCGGCCCTGCCCACCTCTAGCCCCAAGTGCAGCCCCACTCGGGGGTCTCACTGGGGACGTGGAGGTGGGGCGCCCTCCACTCACTCTGCCACTCAGGGAACTGGATTCAGCCCCACGATTCACTGCAGAGCAGAGACAATGATGACTTTACTGCATGTAGATAGATTGTAAATGAGAAAAGTGTCTCTTTTAGGACATTTTTATGATGATCTGCACAGCTTTGCCAGGCAATCCCCTCTCCTCGCCACCCTGTCCCACCGTAGGCAGAGAGGCTTTACAACGGATCCTGTCCACTGTGGAGATTGGAGGTGAGCTCTGAGTGAACTTGCCTAGCCCAGGCTGTGGAGCTCAGATCCCCAGGGCAAACCCCTACTCTCTTCTGTCCTTCCCTTCCCCAAACATGCCCAATGAGGATTTCTCAGAGCCCACAGCACTTAGCGGGAAGGTGGAGATCCAGAGGGATGACAGCCAGCTGTGCCCAGCAGGTTCACGAGCAGCCACCAAGTCGGTGGAGCTATCCCTGACCTTCCCCTGGGAACGAGTCTGCCCTCCCTGCCTGCCCGCATCTGTAGGTGCCCGGGTACCCATGCTGTTGTGCCAGCTTTCCCTCAGGCCAGCCAGCCTCCCTTAGAACCCTCCTCTCCTAACAAACAGAAATTGTTCCCTACATTTTAACTCTCTCTGTGCCCACTGACACCCCACATCCTGACCACTGGCCTTTGTCCTCATCCTGGACTGCTCCCTACTCTGTTTGGGACCTTCCCTGGGGTCCTGGTCATTGGGTGTCTGCCAAATAACTGTTCTCCAGGAGGTGTGCCAACCCTTTAAAAAGAATGTAATGAAAAGCAGGCCTGGTGGGGGTGGGGGTGGGGAGAGGGCCGATTAATCATCAGTTTCCTCCAAATAGCCAGGAATGAGTGGGGCTGGGGCTTGCTGCAGCTCACACAGCCTGAGAGCTCAGACGTTGCCTTAAAAGGAGAAGGAGCCTGGAGTCCTCTGGCTTGGGATCTCGGCAGAGCAGGACAGAGAGGGCTCCTTGGCACACAGTGGAACTGCCGCCTTCATGCTGATCTAAGAGGGTGTCCAGGCCAACTGCTTTTTGTTTCTAGAACCAGTGGTGCATCCCCGTGACCTCTGGAGGTTATTTTTGCCCATGTTTCTGTGCTAAGTATTGACCTTCTGTCACAGCAAAAGGGGTTTAGTCTAAGTAGAGGATTTCCATAGAATGCAGGTCCCTAGGCCCCCAGATGAGGGACCTAAGTAGAAATACTTTTCCCCCCATGGTCAGGGGAAGCCTCCAGAGTGGTCCAGGAGTTCTGCAGAGAAGCAAGACTGACCTCAAGAAGCCCCAAGTGGCCTGTGATACACAGAAGGACCTAGCGTTGGACTCAGAGGCAAGGACAGCTCCCTGCCCTGTCTTCTGGGGCTGTGGCCATGTGTGGTGTTCTGGGTCAGTCAGCAGAATGACAGTCCAAGTTATAAGCACCTGCAGCCCAGCGGGCAGAACACAGCGTCTTCTCCCCAGCAGGGGCTTTTGGCTGCCACTTCCTCCATCTCATTCTATGACAGAGGACATCCCTTAATAAAGGCAGCTTGCTGAGGACGGGGCCTACGCCTCTGCCCACGGACTCAGCAGCCACTCCCTGTCAGTTATCCCTTTCCTTCCTGTGACCCTAGCTAGAGGTGAGGGAGGTGGACATGGACCCAGGGGAGCACAGCTCACAGGGCGTAGGGAGGAGTGGGACTGCTTGGCTTACAGAGGGCCCCTCCCAGCTGTGTCCTGGGAGGTGCAAAGCCAAGGAAGGCAGGGGTGGCTGGGAGAATCACACCCTGCACCAGTGACAGCACTGCCATGAACTCAGGCGCGTCTGTTCCTTCTTTGGCCAAAGTAAGTCAGCAGTGACATGAGTTCACATGGTTCCGCACCACGCTTGCTGTGCCCTCTCCTCCCCACACCAGGGCCTGGTGAGCTTGGAGATCCACGAGCCACTGATCGCCTCAGCGTGTGGATCCAGAGTTCATTAGAAGATGCAGCCCTGGCCCGCTTCTTGTTTCTCCTGTAGGGTCATAATTACCAGGAAAAGCAGGGAAAGGCGTGGCACTTGCTGGGTCTCCCAGTGTACGGTCCCCTACCGCCTCACTTTCTGATCCCACGCCATATCGCTGGGGCCAGGGTCTCATTCCCCTGCCTTTCTCATGGCCCTAACCCCACACCCGCCTGCCACTGGTGACCTCTGATCTCAGGCACAACAGCTGCCAGTGTTGTCTCTCTACACGAGGAAGGGCAGGGCAGACAGCCAGGCCCACGGCTGGTGTGAGAAAAAGGGTTTATCCCCTCTGGTCTCCTGTGGAACACTTTTAGCATTTCCCAAGGAGAAAGAGTCTAGACTGTCCTGAGAAGCAGTCTCAAGAAGCTCCACCAGCATTTGGGGACATCAGCTTTCCTAGTGCTGGCAGCCCTAGGGGAGCCACAGTGTCCTGTGTCCCTTGGTGGCTTATGGGGCAGTGCCATCTCCTGAGGCTTGGCCAGCTCATGAGACAGCGCTGCAGATCTCTTAACAATTGGCATCTCCCCTAAAACTGCAGGTCCCCTTCAGAAGAGTTGGGGGGATGGGTGGCAAGGGAGCCCATTGGCTCTGCTGACACTGGCCCGTGTGCAGA